TTTTTTTTTAAATTAAAAAAACAATAAAAAGATGCACCTTTAGCCCAAAAAATTATGGATGTAATTAAAGGGGGAACTATAGTGTATCCTAAAGATTCAAACTATCTTGACCTTTTGTTTCAAGATATAAAATCTATTCAAAATATTTGCTGTACTACTTAATGGGAATATGAGAACACCTAAAATTGAAGCTTTACATAGATTAATCGATTGGTTAAATGCCAGATCCACAGTTGGATTTAAAATATCTAAATTAAGTTTAGATAATAGTAGGCTTGGTAGCAACCCTTGGTTATCAGGATTTATTGAATCAGATGGTAATTTTTATTGTATATTTAAATTAAATTCCAAAGAAATTGCCACTATAATTAAATGTTATATGAGAGTTTCTCAAAAACAATCATATAAATCAACTACAACTATTTCAAAAACTAATTCAAATTTATATATAATGGATAAAATACGCGATCCGTCTTGATGTTAAAAATGTTACTGAAATTCAAAGAAATAAACCTAATTATATTGAATTAGCTTACGAAGTAAGAACTACTAAAAATATTCTCTTGTGATATTTTAATCAATTACTTAACAAATTTTCCATTGTTTAGCTCTAAATATCTAGATTTTTTAGATTGAAGTGAAGTACATCACATTAGAATTTCTAAAAAATATAAATCTTTAGATGGTACCTCAAAATTAATTTCCCTTAAAAATAGCATGAATACTAAAAGAACTCAATTTAATTGAGATTCATTAAACAGATTTTACTTTTATAATGTAATCAGGATTAGCAATGATTAAGACTTTATTTCCTTTTCAAGGAAAATATCTATACAATTTGACAGGTTGGACGGTTAAACAAAAGCTGTCATACTATATTTCTCTCCTTTTTTTTATTTTCCTTTTTTTTTTAACAAAAAAAAAGGACAAAAAAGGATGAACCTGGACAGGTAAAGGATACATAGTATTAAATAAACCCTACTCGATGCGAGAAACTCTTATACTCGGAAGTAAAAGCTCATCGTTAATTTACACGATAGAAAAATATTTACAGACATGAAGACAATTCGCCTGGTTAATATATTTTTATGTTAGCCATCAGAGACTTAACGTAGGGCATCTTATTTCAAATTTATCTGCTATTCAAATGAATATGAATAAAAAATCACTTTTAGAAAATAAAGAAATATTTTACCAATGGTTAGTTGGTTTTACAGATGGGGATGGAACTTTTTCTATTAATCGTCAAAGTAACAATAAATGGTCTTTAACATTTAAATTGTCTCAAAGTACATATAATTTAAGATTATTATATTTTATTAAAAGTCAATTAGGTGTTGGACAACTTAACATAGAAAAAAATAATATGGCTAATTTTAGAATAAGAGATCGTTTATTATTAAAATCAATTATATTTCCTATTTTTGATAAATATCCTCTACTTACAACTAAATACTTTAATTATATTAAATTTAAAGAAGCATATTCTGTATTATCTGATAATTCGTTATCTTCCACAGAAAAAAATACAATTATGACTAAAATTGTTAATTCAAAACCATCTGTAAATTATATTTCTCCTGCATGGTTATTAGTTAATAATAATGTAACTAATTTTGAATCTGCTTCTAAAGTAATGAGTAAACCTTGGTTAATTGGATTTACGGAAGCTGAAGGTAGTTTTTATTTAGTGGCTAAATCTACTAATAGATTAGTTCACGCTTTTGAAATAACTCAAAAATTAGATAAAATTGTACTAGTAGCTATAAAATATATTTTAGGTATTAGTACTAATGTTAAAATATTTAAAACAGGGTCATTCTCAATAGTTACAACTAACTCTCGTGCAATTGAAAATATAATTAAATATTTTAACCACACAATGAAAGGTATGAAATCTTTAGAATATCGTATTTGGTCTCGATCTTACACTAAATATAAAGGTAATTTTATAGCTTTAAATAATATTAGAAATCGAGTAAGAGTTATAAAAAAGAGAAAAAATACATTAGATAAATTAAATTAAGATGAAGGTATAGTCCGATCTCTAGTGAGAATTAGAGCGTGTAATGATAGTTATTAATTTTTTATACTGTTCCTCTCCCTCACGGGTCCCTCGCGCCATCGCTCGCTCGCTCGCTCGCTCGCTCGCTCGCTCGCTCGCGCCTAGCGGCAGCCTAGCGGCAGCCAGCCAGGGCAGGGTGGTATAGTTTAATTAAATATGAGATTACCAACACAAATGTTATCCACCATTAGCTGGAGTTCAAAGTCACTCAGGTGGGAGTGTTGATCTAGCTATTTTCAGTTTACATCTTTCAGGAGTTTCATCTTTACTGGGAGCTATGAATTTCATAACTACAGTATTGAACATGAGAACGAATGGAATGAGCCTACATAAATTACCTTTATTTGTATGGGCTATATTCGTAACAGCAATATTATTATTATTATCTTTACCTGTTTTAGCTGGTAAATTAATTCTGCCAGCTCTAAATTTGGCCGTATGCTGGGAACTCTTAACTCACCATTTAATTTTGAGTTTAAGACAATCAGCCGGAAACCTTAGCTATTTGAATGGCTTTGGGATCCTCAGAGACTCTACGCCAGAATTTATCTTTTGTAGTATTCCTATAATATCCCTTGCTCATCTGTCCTTTACCCCTTACCCCAATCCCTCGATCGCGCCATCGCTCGCGCCATCGCTCCCGCCTAGCGGCAGCCTAGCGGCAGGCAGCCTAGCGGCAGCCAGGGCAGGGGAGGGGCTTGTAACAAAAAAAGGCGGGAGGAGCTTGTCAGAAAAAGATTTAATTTCTTTTCATAAAAACTTTTCCCTTTTAAATAAATCGGATTTTTCTGCTTATTTAGCAGGGTTAATTGAAGGGGATGGAACTATCATTGTACCTAAATCAACTCGATCTGATAAAGGTAAATTGAACTATCCTTCGATACAAATAGTTTTCCATTTAAAAGATTTACCGTTAGCTATGCTAATTCAAAAAGAATTAAGACATGGTTCTTTATCAAGAAAAAAAGGTGTAAACGCTTATATTTTAACAATAAATAACTTTGAGGGATTAATTTTAATTTGTAGTTTAATTAACGGGAATATGAGAACACCTAAAATACATGCTTTATCAAGGTTAATAGATTGGTTAAATAACCGATTTGAAACTTTAAACCTCATTAAATTGCCTTTAAATAACTCAAATTTATCTGAAAATGCATGGCTTTCTGGGTTTATCGAAGCAGATGGACATTTTTCGATTCGAACAACAGAAAAGATTAAATATCCTAGAATAGAATGTAAATTAGAAATATCTCAACGTCAAAAAGATCACAATGGTTATGACAATTTTCAATTCTTATCTTTAATTGCTGATTTACTGTTAACTGAAGTTAAATCTATTCGTATGGATAAAGAAAAACCAGAATATAGATTAAGAACTACTAGTTTGAAAGGTAATTTAATATTAGAAAACTATTTACGACAATTTCCATTATTTGGAAGTAAATATCTAGATTCGATGGATTGGTTAAAAGTTTTGAATATATTTAAAGAAGGGTTACATAAAGAAAATAATGAAATTTCAGGAGAAATTAAAGAAATTAAATCAGTTATGAATGAAAAACGTCAAGAATTTGTTTGGGATCATTTACAGGAATTTTACAAATTAGATAAATAAGATCGGGTCCCAACTCATATGTCAATATGAGAGTCTTCACCTTTTGGTATTATTTTTATACTAATCGAGATTATAGACTATATACACACAACAGTTTGTACACTAGGACTAAGAATCATGGAACGTAGTTCAGTGAAGCAAGATAAAAAGGGAATTACAATGCTATTAACAGATAGAAACTTTAACACTAGTTTCTACGATCCGGCAGGTGGAGGTGACCCTATATTATACCAGCATCTTTTCTGGTTCTTTGGTCAAATGTGGCCCTTTAAATATAATTTAATGCAACATACTGTAAGCGAGAAGTTCATGTATAATTTATTAGATACTTTCAATGTAAGTTGCTTTCTTTGTACCGTTAAAGTTAAAAATCTTTTAAATTTGAATAATTCGCAAGTAACCAAAGCGTTTAACTCGTTAGTAGGAACTTCAGAGACCATACGTATGTTAAATTTAAACAACCAGGCTAAATTTATTCATAATACAAATTTTGAACAAAAATTTGTTCAATGGTTAGCTGGTCTAATAGATGGAGATGGATGCTTTCAACTATCTAAAAAAGGTTATGCTAGTCTAGAAATTACAATGGATATTAGAGATGAGCATGCTTTACAAATAGTTAAAAATGCTTATGGTGGATCTATAAAATTAAGATCCGGTGCTAATGCACTTAGATATAGATTACATCATAAATCGGGTTTATTAAAATTAATTAATGATGTTAATGGGCATATTAGAAATTCTAATAGATTAGTTCAATTAAATAAAATATGTCATAAATATGAAATAAGTTTAATTTATCCTCAAAAACTAACTTTTGATAATGGGTGGTTATCTGGATTTTTTGACGCGGATGGTACAGTTACAATTAATAGCACTGTTACACAATTATCTATTTCTGTTTCTCAAAAAACATCTGAATTATTACAACCTTTACTAGAAATATATGGTGGAAATATCTATATAGATAGAGGGAGCTCACAATCATTTAAATGGTATATAACCAAAAGAGAGGATATCTTAAAATTAATAGAATATTTTAAAATTTATCCTTCTAGATCAGCTAAAAAAAATAGACTCCATTTAATACCCAAATATTATGAATTAAAGGATCTTAAAGCACATCAAGCTTTACCTGGTACTTTTTTAGAAAAAAGTTGGAAATATTTTAACAATAAATGGTTAAAATATGAAGATCTAAATTAATGTTAAATTTAAAGATATGGTCCAAACATTGTTTTGTTTTTTATTTTAATTAATAAAAAAACAAATAAAAATGTAGCACCCAGAAGTTAAAGATATAGGCTTCTTAACGTTGCTGTTTGCTGGGACAATTTTGCTATTAAATTTTAATCACACCTTTTTCAATAAAGTCGTAAAAAAGTTAAAATTGAAAAATCTATCAGCAGGTAACATGTTTTATTTTAAAACTGGAACCCCAGAGACTTTACGCAATGAAACTATAACAGAAAAAATAAAGAAAATTTCTGTGCATATAACTACACATCTAAAACCTCTTAACGATGAACAGTTTGGTCATTATTTAGCTGGCTTAATAGATGGGGATGGTCATTTTAGTAATATTCAACAATTAGTAATTGTATTTCATTCTTTAGATGCTTCTTTAGCTTATTATATCAAATCTTATCTAGGTTACGGTAGTGTTAAAAAAGTAAAGGATAAAAATGCCTTTATTCTAGTTTTAAGTTCTAAATTAGGTATTGAAAGAGTTATAACTTTAATTAATGGTAAAATTAGAACAATAAATAAGTATAATCAAATAGTTAAGAATGTTTTAGCTAACCCAAAATACATGGACTTTTCTAAAAATTTAAATTTTAAATTGAATGTGTCTAATAACTTTAATAACCATTGGTTAGCTGGATTTTCGGATGCAGATGCGAGCTTCCAAATAAAAATATTAGATCGATTTAATAGGACAGAAATAAGACTTAATTATCAAATTGATCAAAAAACAAAGGATATTCTATTATTAATTAAAAACTTTTTAGGAGGTAATATTGGTTATAGAAAAAGCCAAGATACTTTTTATTACGGATCTACAAGTTTTGGCTCAGCTAGAAATGTGATTAATTATTTTGATCATTTCCATTTATTATCTAGTAAACATGTTAATTATTTAAAATGGAGAAAAGCCTATTTAATTGTTCAAAACAAAAAACACAATACCAAAGAAGGTATTGAAAAAATTACTAAATTAAAAAATACAATGAATAGAGCTAATGATAATGTTATAGTTTAAGATAAAGTCCCAACAAGAATTTTAAGTTCTTGAGTGTTATTTTTAATAATTTATTATTTATAATAATTCTTATAATAACCAAGATAATTGTTATATTTTAATTATACCTGGTTTTGGTATTGTTAGCCATGTTGTTTCAACATTTTCAGGAAAACCTATCTTTGGTCAAACAACCATTATGAATGGCCCTTATAATAACATTTTTCTCTAGGTTATTATATCGCAACATACTATGTGCAGGGAGGAGGGGTTAATCTGTATAGTACTAAAGGTAAACGACTTTATTTTATTTTTCTTAGTTTTGTCGCTTTAGTAATAATTTATTCAGTACTCTCTAATCCGCAGGTAACCAAAGTACAGTTAATCTTTAATTCATTGCATAATTATGCGTATTTTGAAGATTCAAGCATACTAGTAGGAACCTCAGAGACTGTACGTATGTTTTCTAACTGTTTTAGCTCTATTTCAAATAAAGCTAGAGGGAATGATGATACTGATTTAAAAGTTCGTCAATGGATTGCTGGTGTTATTGATGGGGATGGTAATTTCCATATCTCTAAAAAGGGCTATGTTGAACTTTCTGTAGTAATGGAACCTCGTGATATTGCTTGTCTTTATAAACTAAAACAACGATACGGAGGTTCAGTAAAAGCTACTCCACATGCTAAAGCTATACGTTTCCGATTACATAACATGGCTGGTATCCGACAAGTTATTAAAGATATCAATGGATTAATTCAAAATCCTGTTCGATTAGCCCAATTAAAAAGAGTTTGTAGTATTTATAATATAGAAATTATTCCTACTGTTGAACTTTCTTATAATAGTGCTTATCTTTCCGGGTTATTTGACACAGATGGAAGCGTATACTTTAATAAACAATCAATGCAAGTATTTATCACTGTTACACAAAAAGGTATAGAATTACTCGATATCTTAGTCCCTGTTTATGGTGGAACAGTTCGGTCTTCTAACAAAAATGCCACTGCTTTCCTCCCCGTCCTCTCCTCAAAGAGGTAAGAGGGGAAGGGGGCGGACAGTATCTAAAAAAAGCGAAATTCTTAACTTAATTGACAATTATTTCCACTGGAATAACTGTGTTTCAGCCAAAAACAAAAAATTTGGTCTGGTTAAACAGTTTTATTATCTATCCTCAATTGGAGCTCTTAAAGCTTCTATGGATTCAGTACTTGGACGTAGTTTTACTAAATTTGTAGAACAGTGGGAAGCAACTAACAATCCGGACAGTTAGAAAAAGAGACAGTCCAATATTACTTTACTTACGTTAAAGTGACGTAGTAATTTAAATTATTGTATTTAGGGATGGTTTATGCCATGTTCTCAATAGGTATTTTAGGATTCCTGGTGTGGAGTCATCTTGTTTCTTTAGACATAGAAACGGATCGGGTGGCTCTCCTCTGTCGTGAGACAGATGTAATAAATCTTGCTGTATGCTGAAACAGTTCAACGCTACTTGGTACATTTTTTTGTAAAAATCTGAGTAGTTATTCTAAATCAGCAGGTAATTATCACTTTATTAATCGTACGATAACCTCAGAGACTATATGCAAGACATCTTGTCAAAATTTTAGTGCATTCCATGCACTTTATGCTAAACTCGAATTTAGCTATTCTATTCCGGATAATTGGCTTTCATGGTTTGTTGGTTTTTCGGAAGGAGATGGAGCTATTCTTAGTTATAATGGTCGACCTTTATTCGTACTAACACAAAAAGAAGAACTTATTCTTCAGCATATTCTTAGTGTTCTAGGATTTGGTACTATACGTAAAATAGATAAAAAAGGTACTATTTTCTATCGATATATAGTAGAAGACTTTACAGGAGTACTACTTCTAGCTCTGATCTTCAATGGAAATTTAGCTATTCCTAATCGAGTAAAACAACTTGATAAATGGCTATCTGAAATTAATCTTAAACTAAGTACAAAAGGATCACGTATTTATGGACTATGTTCTACTATTGTTCCTAGTACTTGTTTATTTAAACCTAGTCTTAATAATGCTTGGTTATCTGGATTTACAGATGCTGAAGGATGTTTTAATGTTAACATTACTAAACGTGAAAACACACTTACAGGATATCGAGTTATACTACGTTATGTGCTAGATCAAAAATATGCTCTTGATGAGCTAACTTATATTTCTAGTTTATTCGGGTACGGTAAAGTCATTATACGAAGTACTGATATGTATCGATACTATTGTAATTCAATTATAGGACTAGTAAACGTTTGCAATTACTTTAAATCATTTCCATTAAAAACTAAAAAGTCTAATTCATTAGCTAATTGGCTTAAAGTGTATAAAATGGTTCTTAATAAAGAACATCTAACAACAGAAGGTTTAGAAATGATACGAGTAATTAAGAAAACCATAAACCCTAAAAACTAATAAACAAGCATTATTAACAGATATTCTTTCCCTTATCGCAGGGAGTATGACAAGTTGAAGATATAGTACGGTCCTATTCGTAAGAATGGTTTGACTAAGTTATGCTTATAACATTAGTAAAATTAATTGCACCACATGTTTGCTGTGGGATTAGATGAATTTGAAATTTTAATCCTTTACTCTCAACTTATTGCCACAAAAATAGAAAATAATAAGCCCTTTTCTTCAAATGAGGTTAAGGAGATTATATTTGGCTCTCTGTTAGGAGATGGTAAATTAGAATTACCTCCATCCCGCGAGGGGAGAGGGTTAAATGCAAGATTTGGCTTTACACAAAGCTTAGAAAAAAAAGATTATTTTTTAAGTGTGTTAAATTCTTTAGGAGAAATCAGCTCTGGAAAGTATAGAGAAATGTCTTATTTAGATAAAAGAACTGGTAAAACTTATACAAATTTAAACTTTTGAAGTAAAGCTTTACCTATGTTAAAAGAGTTATATTTTAAATTTTATGATGGTAAAGTCAAAATAGTTCCTTTAGATTTATCATTATTAACTCCTCTTGCTCTAGCTCATTGGGTGATGCAAGATGGATCGAGAGGAACCTCTAAAGGTTTATATCTTTGTACTGATTGTTTTACCCTTACTGATGTTCAAAGGCTCAGTCAATATTTAAATAAGAAATATGATTTTAAATGCTCTATCCATAAAGCTGGAGGAAACTATAGAATTTATATTTTAGCTAAGTCCGTAGAGACAGTTAAAATTCTTATTTTGCCTTTTATGCATAAAACTATGACATATAAGTTGGGAGTATAGCTAAATTTCCTACGTCGTCCATATTTGGAAGAGTATGGGTTATAATTCCCTATATGCAAGAAACTATTTAAAAATTAGTGTACGATTACTCCTATTCTATAAGTATATGGAAAAAAAAATAGAGAGTACGTGAAAAACACTAAATCTTATACAACTTGCAGGAAACATATAAGTATTTTATATTTATTAGGCTCCTCAGAGACTACACGGGAAATGCCCTAACCAATTAAAAAATTGAAGGGATAAGACATAGTCCAAGTTAAGATAAAAATAATTTAGATTTATGTTTGGTTTAAATATTAAGCCTTATACATTTTTATATTAAAAAAATCTTAATAGGTAGATACGAGAGCTTACTTCACAGCAGCTACGTGCGCCATCTCATTATATATATCGTTAAGGGTATATCCTTCATCAAAATTCTTTTCTAATATTAATTTAACAAAAAAATTATCTACAAGTAACAATACTTCTTGCAATCAAGTCACTTTATGAAATAAACCAATTAGTATTAATTATATGAGTTTTAAATCAAGATTAGAAAATAGTGATAAAATTCTTCTTAATTTAACACCTAGAGTTAAGAGTATTATTATAGGTATGCTTTTATCAGATGGTTGAACTCAAAAAAGAGGACATTGAAATCCTAGAATTGGTTTCAAACAATCTATTAAAAATTTTTCTTATTTATGGTACATTTATAATGAACTCGGTTATTTATGTTCAGGGTTACCTATGAAATCTCAAAATATTTTAAGAGGAAAACTTTTTTTTAGTGTTTACTTACAAACTAGACAATTAGTATGTTTAAATGAAATTTTTCATTTATTTTATAAAACTATTAATGGAAAAATAATTAAAACAGTTAAAGAAGAATTATTTTTTTATATGGACTATATGGTTTTAGCTCATTGAATTATGGGAGACGGTAGTAAAAGAGCTAAAGGGTTGGTTTTATGTACTGATAATTTTAGTTTACAAGAAGTTGTTTTATTGGTAAACATTTTAATTTTAAAATTTAATATTAATCCTACTATCCAAAAGGAAAAAAATAAATTTAGAATTTATATAAATGAAAAAAGTTTAATAAAAATTAAACCATTTATTTTACCTTTTTTTGTAGATCATTTTTTATATAAAATTAATTAGTGATGTAAAGCATTGAACTTAGGCAGTAAAGGCTAACTTTACGCTGACAACAGCATGTTCAAAAAGGGAGTTTAAACTTATAAGTTATTTCACTCTCGAGCTACGATCCCTAAGGCTAGGTTAACGAACCCTTACAAATATTTCTAATTAAAAATGAAGTTTAGAAGTAGCTGACTGAACTTAAAAAGAATCATTTTAGAATATAGGGGGCCTAAGGGGATATATATGTGGTATATATAAGAATTTGGGATGACCTGACACTCGGAAGAGTTGAGGTTACGGAGTTTCCGTATTAGATTAATTTTTTTTAATTGAAGGGAAACAGAAGAAAATAATCTTGCAGTTATTTTCTTTGGAAAGCCGTATGATGGGAAACTATCCTGTACGGTTTGGGAAAGGATTTTTGATTAATTTCTACTAATAAGTACATTACTTTTTTTAGTAGTCAGGGTCAATCTTCTATTTCACAATGGTTATTGCAGTACCTACTGGTATTAAAATATTCTCATGGTTGTTATTCTCCTTCAGCAAGAGATTTTTTAGTCATGTTCTTTATACCGCTTATCAAAGGGAGAATGCACAATATACAAAAGTTGCTTGTTTTAACCTTAATAATATTATATACTCCGGCCCTGGCGGCACTGTTGTCAATAAACTTTTTTTTTTCCTTTTTTTGTATTGTTTTTTTTATTTAAAAAAAACACAAAAAAAAAAGCTTGACGACAAAAAAGGAATAAAACACGGATATTCCAAATTTAAATTGGAAATATTAGAATATTGTGACAAATTAATTGTACGGGAAAAAGAAAATAATTACATTAATTTACTTAAACCTGAGTTTAACATTTTAAATAATGTAGGTTTAGGTTATACTCATTCAGAAGATTTTAAAAGTCGAGCACTTTATAGACATTCAGATTTTCCAAAGACTAAGAATCAAATTAAAATTTTGTACCAAACTGATGAGCAAAATGTAAATATTAAACCCATGACTAAAAATATGACCAGCAGAATTATATTAAAAAACAAAAAAACTTTAAATCTTTTAGAAAGATTTCCTAGATCAAATAGAAATTATTTACCAGCTAACAATCAGTGTAAGGCTATAGTAGTATGGTCTTCAAACCTGGGTAGTACAGTTAATTATCCGCAATTTACTTCTATAGTCAGACATATGGTTAATATACCTACTAACTTACGATCGATGTTAGGTGGACTATTAATTTCAGACGCTTGGTTGGAAATAAATAAATTAGGTAATACTAGATTTTTTTTTAAACAAAGTATGGCTCACTCTGCATTTGTCTTTTTTGTTTTTAATAGACTTTCTCATTTTTGCTCTTCTTATCCTAGTATTACAACTACTTCTATAAAAGGTTACAAATTTAAAGGTATTTGTTTAAACACTAGAGCTTATCCTTGTTTGACTGAATTTTATAATATGTTTTATGTAAAAGGCGTTAAGATTGTCCCTTTAGATTTATATGAAATGGTTGATTTTGAATTTTTAGCTTATTGGATAATGAGTGATGGATCAAAAGCTGGCAATGCTCTTTATCTACAAACACAATCTTTTACTGTTAAAGAATGTGCTTTTATTATAAGCATATTAATACACAAATTTAATTTAGAATGTAGTATTCATATGCAAAGAAAGCAGCCTACTATTTATATTTCAGCAAAGTCTATGAAAAAAATAAGAGCTAATTTATTACCTTTTTTTCAACCATCTATGGTATATAAGTTAAATATTTAATATAATTCTGAGGTGGCAAACTCGAGGGAAATCTCAATTTAAGTAATTAGAATTAAATTGAGACTATCGTCGAACTAAGTCAATGATCGGGAAACTATCATTGTAAAAGCGTAGAGGCCAGACGCCACATGATCGTCTAAGTATAATTTATTATATATGAGATTACAAGGAATGGTCCGGTTCACCGGTGACGGGTTTTAGATTAACACCTAAATAAGGTATAAATAAATATGTTTTAATTTAATTCTATTTTATACCGAGAAAATAAGCCATGCTGTACCTGTGATGGTAAAAGGCTGAACCACGAGCGACTCTATACGGTGGTAGTTTAAGATATACTACACCATTATTATTCACTTTAGGATTCTTAGCTTTATTCACTATTGGTGGATCAATCTACTCTGGTTAGTTCACTTTAAAGGCTACTATATGCTGGAAACCTCTAATAACTAAGATACTACCTTACTTAAAATAATAAATATTTTTTATTTCCAAATATATTATTTAAACTTAATAATATATTTTTAGTTGATGATATAGTAACAAAGCTTAGTTTTGAGTAATCAGCAGGAAACCTTTAGATTTAAATAAAATAAGGTTCCTCAGAGACTATATGTAGCCATCATTTTATTGCTTCGCCTTGATGCTAGGCTAGCACCGTTATTCTAACTGAATTTTAAAATAAAATTTAGTAATAATTTGATAAAATGATAAGATATAGGACAAAAAAAAA